CTCCTCCCCTCCCCATCTACAAACACTTTATTTTCATTTTTTCATTATCTCACATTTTTAAATTTTTCCTTTTTACTCTTTCCCTACCCATCCCACTTTTCCTACACCTTTAGCTCCTTTCTTTCAACTGCATTGGAGATCATAACTTAAGCACAAGGATAAAATAGGCCTTCTTACCACTTAACCTGTTTTAATTACTTTTCTCTCATTACTAAGACAAAATATTCAACACTCACAAGTTAAGCAAGGAAAGGTTTATTTAGCTCACAGTTTGCTGAAGCTTCAGTCTATAAAAAGATGGCTGCAAGGCAGGGTAGCTTGGCAGAAGGGCATTGCAGGAGTGAACTCGTTCACGGCAAGCAGAAGACAGAAAAAGCAAGCAGCAAGCAAGGGAGAAGACAAGCCTCTTCCTGTTCCTTATTGTATGCAGGCTACTGGGATTAGGGTGGTGCCAAATCAATCAGTGTACTGATTTAGTAATCACATACCCTTAATCCAAGCATCATACTCTAGATTCAGCCACCTCTGAAAAAGCCTCACCTGTGACCACATGAGACCACGTCTAGATTCAAACTGTAACATCTCCAAAATTAAACCTGACCAGTGAATACAGGGATGCATGAACTTTTCCACACACAGGGGAGTCCAACTCTAGCACACTGACCAAAAGACAACAGGTAGTCACCCAGCTGAGTCTGAGTTTGGGGCTGGAGCTTGATGCTGTACAGCATTCAGTGAATCACAAAGCTAGTAACACCACCCCAAAGCCCTCCACACCCCAAGAGGCTGGGTAAGTAAAAGAAAATCCCACCTGGCTATCAAACTCCTGAAAGAGACTAGAGAGAACATGAAAGAGAGGGGGTTGGGATTTTGCGGTGGCTGGTGGTCCAGAGCAATCCTAACTCAGCAGAATTGTGAGAAGAGAAGAGGAAGTAGTGTCAGCTTGTGCTAGCTTTAAAGTGACCAGTTTACATTTCCCAAGAGGGCAAATGATGATAGTTTTTTAGATAGAATTTTTTAGGGTTACCAAAATAGTGTAATCCTTGTTACCGTACCTCTGAACAAACAAATGCCCCTATCATCCTCCTGACCACGATAAACTAAGCTTCAGTCTTCCCTAGATACAGGCACTCAGCCTGCTGGTTTGCAGGAAGCTGCTCACTCCTTAAGCTTACTTAAATTCAGTTCCTAATTCTAGGTTCATTGTCTGGTTACTAAATTTACTGCAATCCTTTTTTCTCTTGCACTTTCTGATTCCCTTTGTGCACTTTGGCTTGGATCTGCCCCACTGCCCAATTTTGAACTATGTCAAGTAAAATTCTTTCCCTGACTGAACACTTATCCGCCTCCTCTGCTGACCAATCCTGAGCTATTGAACTTAGCCCAGTCATCCAACTCTCCCAAAGGGGAAAGAGCCAGCCAGATGGGGTGTTGGCACAGTTAAGAAAAAGAACCAGGACACATTGAATTTGCAACTGTGTGAAAACATGGCAAGAGGAAATAATGGAAAGATAATAATTTATTTTTAATTATTATTGTGACATTATTCCAGTCTTTTCTAAGACCCTTCAAAACTTAGCTTATGTGGGCTATTTTCCCTTAAAAATAGGGGTTAGTAATTATCTTTAATTATATCAAAGTCTACATATAGTTTACTTGTTCCTTTGCTCTGGGAGGAAAATAATAAAGAGGAACCAAATAATTTAAACATTTTTGATAAGAAATGAAACAGTAAATGTCCATTTCCATTTATCTATTTAAAAGAGAAAGAATAGCTTTCACTATTGAAAGAATAAATTGTTCTTCTAATTCAAGTTGAAAACTTTTATGGCGCTATTTCACTTTATAAAAAGTGTATTAAATAAGTTTTTCGAATTATCAGATTTAACAATTTGAATAGCTTCAAAGGAACTGGAGTACTTAGGGTATAAACAGAAAGTTTCATCATCAAGCAATCACAAGATTTGCCCAAGTTTATGCAGTTAGAAATGGCAGAACTAGGATTTAATCCTTGGAATCCTGACACTAGTTGTCTTTCCCACGATCCTCTGGGAAGTTGGAGGTAATAACATATGGACCAGACAAGAAAGAATTGTGATTTTCTAGTTTAGGAACAATTCGACTCAATCCAGGTAACCTAAAGCAAACACTGACTAGGCTTCATTAATGAAAATAATGAATTTCCACTGCCCACCATGATAATCTAAATTCTCTATCATGTTGAGATTCTTTAATTCTCTCAAACTGGGAGTTTCTTCCTAAAAACTTTGAAAGGGATTAATTTGAAGTAATTTTAACAAAAGATGTTAAAGTGACATTGTAAATTCTAAAGATAACATAATTATGAAACAGATTGGCTCAAAATTAGAAATCATAAGGAGTGTCAGGTATTGGAAGCCTAAAATAATGCCAAATTTATGCAGAAAGGAACATGTCCAAAAATGAAAATTAATCAAGAACGTTTCCTTAAATTTGGTGAAGAAACTATGACAAGAGTGAGAGTACATTATGATAATAATCTGTAGGTAAAAAAAACAAGCCGTATCCATGTTTACTCAAGACGCCTCTCGTGTCCCTCCCGTGTCTTTACAGATAGTCAAGGAGTGCTGTACTTCCAGACTGATTTGGGTCCTTCCCTGAAGACCTGCCCAGAAGCATCTCTCAGTATATGAGGGTCTAGCTCTTCACTTACCCTGAAAAAAGTCCCCTAACCTAGATTTTTGCCCAGTTAGATGGTAGGGGAAAGGAAACTGGAGTTTTACATACAGTCCGTACATTTATGTGCATGAAAGTTTCTGGCCTTTAATAGATACTTAAAATTGTTTTTCTCTTTATTGTCACTCAGGACTTATTCTTAGAGTGGAGAACATCCTGTTTTAGGCATAATTCTTATGTTTATATAACCATTAGTATTTAAATACATATAACAATCATGACAACAAATGTTCTTTAGATTTAAAACTATTTCCTAAAAAGCAACAAACACTAGGTTAGCTGGTTCTTTGCTGGCATCTAGTGTTTCTCATGTATTACTGCAAAATGCCTTGGTTATTTATTTTTTTTTTTTTACTGTTCACATTTTATATGTATTTTTTTCTTTTTCTTTTTATTGAGGTTATTGGTACAATCTAGGTATACAATACAATTACATTCATCATTGGGATTCTGTACCTTTACATAATAGGTCTTGATTCTCGTTTTTCCCCCTTGTCCCTGCTCTCCCTTCACCCCCTCCTCCCCTCCCCATTTACAAACACTGCCTTGGTTAATTTTAAACTACTTTTTTAATGAAAATGATACATGGAGTAGAAACTTTATTCATCTTAGAATAAACAGAAAAGTTTGTTAAGTGACTACTACTCCTAGCAGCATAACAACAAATCTTCTGTTGTGAAAATGATACATGGAGTAGAAACTTTATTCATCTTAGAATAAACAGAAAAGTTTGTTAAGTGAACTACTACTCCTAGCAGCATAACAACAAATCTTCTGTTCTGATGAGTGAAGAATCATTTAACTCCTCTCATAAGAAATTATGTAATGGTGTATTTTCTCATAATTCTGTTAAGAGCAGAAGATCCTGCATGCGTGTAGGGCTTCTCTATTACTGCGGTAAGAGAAGCAATGAAATCAGGGCCCTTATTGAAGTTCTATTGTGCATTAGGCCCTGGGCTTGTGTACTTTCACATAAGTTGTCACTGTGCTTTTGGAAGCTACCATCCTAACTGCAGTCTCGGCCCACTGACAAGAATTTGGTCTGCAGTGTGGAAATGGAGACACTCAACACTCTTTCATTAACTGTCTTGTGCCAGGCCTCAAGTTATATACAGCTGTGGGCCCCTAGGACCATTCAGCTAAATAGAAATGAGTGCAGCATGGGCTCTTAAGGTGAACATTGGCAAGTATTCTCTAAAACCCCAGTCTCTTAGGGGATCCTCAGACTGCTGCTCAGCAACATCAGCAGTATCTTCTAGCCAATGTCTTCTGCTCCCATTGATGCAGTGGTGTCTGGCTTGCTGAAGGACCTGGTCTTAATGGCCTGGTCCTCTTACTTGCTCTCAAGTCCTTGCTTATCCCCCAGCTGCTGGTGGTGTAAAGGTGGCAGGAGCATGGGCGACTTTGAAAGAGATTCTATATTTGGAATAAGGAATATTCAGCATGAAGACTTCAAAAAAACACATGGATGAGAAAATGGTAAATTTAACAGAAGCAGAAAATAATTGACCATTCATATGTTCTTACATTTGTAGTCATCATCAATAAAGCACAGTAAGAACCTGTGGGAGCAATTGGAAGCCAGTATCATGGGCAGAAAGATTGATGCAGTAATGACAGTTATTCGCACTCTGCTGAGACAAACAGATCTATATGGTTCCAGTACAAATGGGCTGGGAAAAGGCTTGGTATGGTAAGAAGTTAAGTGTTCTTTTACTTGTGATGGGAGACAAGATCTTGTCCAGGAATGGTACTTTGGCAATAAAGGATTCAACAATGAATCTAAATCTCCCAGGTTTCTATTAAAGTTCTTTGCTAGCTAACCAGATCTGGCAATCTTTCAAATTTCTGTTCTGTTTGTTCCTACTGTCCAAAGATTATGATTTATCCTCAGATTATTGTTTCTGCTTTTCTGCACATAGTCACCCATAATATCCTTCAACTTTTTCATTTCCCATGTTTTATCTTCTCTTGCCACAGCTCTGAAGACCACAAAGAACAGAAACATAAGGGCCGGGGATTTGGCTCAGTGGTTCTGCCACCTTCCTTGAAGGCACAAAGGGCCTGAGTTCAATCTCAGTACCACACACACACACACACACACACACACACACACGAACAGAAACATAAATTTATTTATTATAAAGAGCTAAATTTTTTTTCTTTTCCAGAAGCTCATTATCCTCAAGGAATTCCTAAGTTTCAGACTTTTGTTGAGGGTTTATATAGGATGGTGAAGGGTGAAGGTAGAACAGATTGAGAAATATATTAAATTTACCATAATATTTAATGTCAGGCTGCTTTTTAATTACTTTCTATTGGGGGAAAGGTTCATTTACAAGTAGTCCCAAGTATTTATGAAAGGCCTACTGCACCAGGCATTGTAGAAGACAAAATCTTCAAGACACAGACTCCACTTTCAGGATTGTGCTCATTAACTGTGGAAATGAAATACAGCAGAGGAGATATTTTTGTGTATCTCTACACACATAACACACATACACACATATGCACCCAATGGAGGAAGGCAGCAAAGAGAACAAAAGGTAGAATTTTAGAAGTCTTCAGCAAAAAGGAATGAGTGGAAAGGAGGTGATATTCATTTCTAGAATCAATAAAACAGAAAAAAATTCCATTTTCAATCGTTTTTGTCTAATCTTCAGATCTAGGACGAATTTTCCATGAAAAACTTTGTGACTTTGTTTCATTGTTAAATTATCAAATGCAATATAAATAATCACATACTGAACAATCAGTCATCTGCATAGAAAGGAAATCTCTGTCATTTTCGATTAGTACTGTAAATAGCAAGTAATTTCAATAATTTAATCAAGGAATCATCCACAACTGGTCAGTAATACACTGAAAATTTTCAATTAAACATATAGCATTGCTGAAATAAAGAAACATTTCCAGTATAAATTGGAGAGTGTTGATAAATCAAGGACATCTCCTCTTTAGACTGAGATTCGAAGTGATGATTGTTTTTCCGCGCTGAAAGAAAAAAAAAGTATTTGTAAAAAGATTGGATGACAAAGTTTTCAAGATAATACTTTGCAATATTTCTCCCGACAATTAGCACTATTAAGGAAAGAATACTGACAAGAGATGAAACATTTTACAGAAAGTCCCCCAAAATACCGTGCCTGATTTAGACACAGTTATCTTCTGATAGAGCACGTGTACTTGACCCACACCAGAACCTGTGTTGTCCTCACTCCTTGATTCACCCACTTACTAAATGGCTACATTTGTAAAAGATGGATAAAGGGCCCAAAGGTAGAAAAATGGGTAAGACAAGAGCCCAACATTCAAGAGGTCTACACCGTTATCCACACAGAATCAAATGGTGCTGTGCTTTTGGTAGACCTTCACCAAGATGCTTCAAGAGAAAAAGGGATGGAGAAACTGGTGAAGGCAAGACCACTGGAGAAGTGAGGCACTTCAGACAAGACAATTGCAGATACAATGATGTCCACTTTTGGAGCTGAGGATGAGAACTAGGGTTTCAACCTAAAATCAAAGTCAAGAAAATACAGGCACCCAAAACTGCCATGAAGGCTGTTCTTCCCACTACTGTTCTCAATGATTCACACAACGGGAAAATGTTCTTTTGGACTGAAACTGCATAGGGACTTTAGGGGTTTTATTAAAATGGAGTTTTGTTATGAAATCATCCGTACAAGGGGGCATAATTCTACAGCAGAATGAATTCATTAAGGAAATACTTGTCTTCTGAGTAAGGGTAGCACGATAAATAAAAGTTGGGGGCAAAATAGAGATAAGAAGAATACAAGGTTCACGGATATCTTCAATTGGCGGGACTCCCCCAAGTGATGCTCTATCCCCAGCAAGCTGTGTCTCCACATGTGTCTTATTATACCCATACCACTCTTCTAAAAATAAGGATCTACAGTCAAACTCCACATTTAACTCATAAACATAAAATAGCATGAAAATCTGTATTCTCATCACAAATCAGGCAAAGCTTCTTAACTTTTGCCAGTGTGGCAATGGCTGCAGACAAGCAGTCTTAAATGGTAGGTATACACTGATTCTATAGTGTTGCCTTGAAAAAATAACATCCAATTTTCCGAGGTTGTTATAACTCCAGCATTATTTCTAAAATGAAAGGCAACTGAGTAGAATCTAAATGAAAAATGTTAACAAAAAAAGAACTCAACTTTTTTAAAACTGTTGATACTGTTGAAAAAATTCTTCTGGATTTACTGGAATACTAGTCCCTCAATTTCAGAGCTTTCATATTATTTAATATTTGTTATTTTAAAAAATAAACCTATAGACCCTATGGAACAGTTATAGAGCAAGAGAATACATAAAAACCCAAACAATAGTACTTTCCTTCAAAAGTACACTACAGTGATAAAATCATGTAGCCACACATTACCTTCAGAAACAAAAAATTCTGCTAAATAAAATGCAGTCCTCACAGCATTAGGTGCATGGGAAACGCCTTTTAAATTTGGCCATTCATACGGTGCTTTCTCTGGATGCCACTGGACAGCATATACTGGATACTTATACCCTGTATGAAGAACACAAATCAGAAAATATTAAGAATGGTTTAAGATGTTACTTATAATTAAATTGTTTTGTGTCCTATGTACATTATTTTATAACTCACTATATTAGACAAAAAATATTGTATACATTCTCTAAGATACAAAGAACTTATGTTCATAGTCAGTGAAAATCCCAATAATATATTTCACTAATTTGTAACCTTTTACAATTTGTGATATAATTCACTTTTCCAAGTAATCACAGTAAAGTAAAACAGTTCAGCTTTGGAACATATCCAAGTTCAACAGTTAAGTACATATTTTTGTCTTGTTTTTTGTGCTGTTTTTTGTGGACTGATCGCAGGGTTCACACATGCCAAGAACATGCCCTAAAACTGAACTACATCCCTAGCCTCAAATGCACTTTTACTTAGCGACACGATTTTCCTTTATGATGGGACTTTCTCAGAGTATTTCCCTCATACCATATTTTTATCCCAAAATCACTCATTCATAAGATAATAAACCATGCCAGCACTTCTGGTGTCCTTTCAAATTAGCTAAATTGTATCAGCCTAAATGTGTATTTTTCTCAACCTATGAAATGACTCATCACTACAGAATTAATTCTTAAAGCAGTTCCTAAAAGTTTATAAATTTCTGTTACTATTGGTAAAACAATTATTTTCAGAGATCTTGGCTATCTCTATAGATAAACATATAATGATCACTGGAATTTGCTTCAAAAAATAACTCAACATGGGGATAAAGCAGAAACAAAACAAGAATGGCCACATACGTGCTGCTAGTTGCTGAAGCTAACAGGTTGATACATGGGCCCAAATATTACTCTCTCAATTTTACCATAATTAAAAATTCCATAATTTTTTAAAAAGGAGAATGAATAGGTGTAACAGCCAGTTTCTGAAAATTTACACTCATCTCTTTTCTTTACATGTGCATTTCCTCACTTAAATAGGAAAAAACCCTCTATCTTCCTGGGGGCTTTGGAATTATAATTATGATAGCCATGAGGAAATACCTGTAGAAATGAAAAGCATCAGCTGGAAGGAGAGCAAGCTGAAGGAAAGACTATCACACTCACACATCCCCCTCGTCCCTTCCACCGGAGCGCATGTCGCAAGAAGGGAGACATTTTATCCTAGTCTGGTTGGGGTTCAGAAGAGGCTCTGCGCAACTCTGCCTCATCTTTCTCTACTGCCTTTCCCCTTTACCTCCTTTCACTATGCATGTGCTTTCTTGCTGGCCTGAACTACACATGAAGGTACTGGCATGAGATTTTCAGGCTGGGTTGGTAGAGAAGCAACTGTAACCCACAGCTAACTGAAAGATGGACCTTCTGGTACAGGTTTCTAATACGTGAAAGTCTTACTGAGGATTAGGAATGCCTTAACTGATAATCACATGACTAAAAGACCACCGTAAGAGTCATGTGCTGACACACTAACTTGGAATAAAAACATGGAATGGAAGGATGGGGAAAGGGGAAAAAAACAAGAACCAAGATATAGCACGTATAGGTACAAATTCCCAGAGATGAATGTGATGATTACTGTATATCTACAATGTACCAATAAACTCAATGAGAAAAAGTAAATTTGGTAAATAAAAAAAGAAATAAAAATAACATCAAGAATCGAAAGAAAATGTACGAACAGCAGAGCATCTCAAGCATTCCTATACTAGAGGTGTCAAAAAAGTTTCTGGTGATAAAATTTTAAAATGATCCAAGAACAATGACAACAGCCACAAGAACCAACAAGAATTTGAATCCCTAACTTCCAACTGAACCCTATTTTTATTTAAATAATTAGTCATTCATTCAACTTCTCTTGAGGTTTACCCAAGCCCTGGAAACATACAGGTGAGTGGCACAGTTCCAGCTCTCAGTGAACTCTTAGGCTAGGGGAAAGAAAGAACTTTAACAAGTAGGTACATTAGAAACATTCCTCAGAAGCACAAAGCAGGTATGAAGAGACTGAAGACGTGGAGATGTGGAGAGAAGGAATAACGGAAGAGAAGGCTGCTCAAAGAAGACAGCTGACCGGAGTCTGTCAAGATAGCTGAGAGTTCATCAGAAGAAGGGAGTAGTGGGGGACGGAAGCTTTTCAGAGAAGAGAAAAAAAAACTTGAGAAGCAGTACAGACGTGAGAACATTGCTATGTGGGGAGCACCATGCATCGAACCATTCTCACAGGAATGCAGGCTAGCGGGGAAAGCAGGTATAAATGGTCTAGACTTGATTCTCCAAGAGCCACCGAGGAGCTTTAGTCCAGCAGCATGATCACACTGGCACCTCAGAGGGATCACCTGTGACTGCCGGGAAGATGGATATGTGGAATGGTTAGGAAGTAATCCACACAGTTAATTCTGAAGTAGGGTGAGAGAAACTGGATAGGCAGGAGGAGACATACTCAAGAAAAATTTGGGAAGTAGACAGTGGTGTGAATCTTTTAGACCTTGAAATGAGGGCAGGAAGTCAAGGATGGTTCTAGGTTTCTAAATCTAGATGATTTGGTGAATTGTGATGCCACTGACTGATAGAAAAAAAAACACTGCAGGGAAAACAGAGAAATGATAAACTCACTTCATGTTAAGTTGATCAATGCTTCTTAGAATATCCCTGGATGGGAATTATTTCTAAACATTGATGTCCACCAACTAGATTGACCAGTGTGCTATGGTTTGGATGTGTGCATCAGAATTCACGTACTGGAAACAGAACCCCAAAGTCATATGTTAATGGGATGTGAAGGTGGAGACTTCAAGGAGTAATTAGGATTAGATGAGTATGAAGGTGGGGCTATATGATAGCATTAGCAGATTTATAAGAAGAGCAACATGACCTAGCATGCTCACTCTGTCCCACCATGATGCACTCAGCAATGTTAAGATGCAACAAGAAGGCCCTCATCAGATGCTGATGTGGATGACAGTGCCATACTCTTGAACTTCCAGACACTAGAACTGTGATGTAAACAAACCCCTATACTTTATGTTAGTTTTTACTTATAGAGAATAGATTAAACACAGGATTATGGCCAATTTTTAAATAACATGAACTGTTTCCACTTTACTGTAGTTTATGTTACTCCAGTACCTTTTCCTCTTAGATAGTTCTAATCAGCTTTACCAACTCAAAAACACGAAGAGTCTCCCTGACTTAAAACAGATGGAATGCTCTCTGGACTCCTTTCTTCCAACTTCTCCCAGTACCTCCTTGTATGTCTTCTCCATCAAACTATGTGCCCAGGAAGCTGCTCTTAAATTTATAGTTGTACTTTTTTTAATCTTCTGGAGATACAGAAGACAAATTTCATAAAATGACATCGTTAGAGCTTCTGGCTAAACCAGCCCTTTCATTATATTTCAAGATTTTTATTACTACTTTGTTAACTCTGTGTGACCAACTATGCTGCCCAGGACTGGGAAACTTCCCACTTTTCCAGGAGTTTGTTGCTTATACATATAGGTAAGAAATACTCTATGACATATATACTTGAACAAATATACTCAAGCTGATATCTAAATACTGGTATATATCTACTGAGATATATACATTATAGATAGGTATTACTTAACAGAAAAAAAAATACCTGTATATATCAAAACATTTGACTCACACCATATCCTAAATCAACCTTTAACACAGATTATTCTACCTCACCAGAAACTATCAGGGTATAGTATGCTTCACTTTACTAAGATTTCCTAACATGTGTCCCTGTGTACAGCTAATATTCAAGCCCTGAAAAATATTAGTATGTTAAACTTCATTATTTTTATTGAAAGATAAAACAAAACAGCTACCACAGCACTTTGTAAGTTACCATAATGGATTACCACAATAATGCCGGTTTTTACACCCCAGTCAGCTCAAGAGTTTGGGGTTTGAATACTCCTATTTGTTGACACTTCATTAATGAATTTTAAAAGATATTTTTTCTACCTCAGTCATAATTTTGCTGTCCGGAGCAGAACCTGTCAAGGTCCTTAATCTGCCACTATGTACATACAGAAGTTATTCATTTCCTCCTCCTCCTCCCAACCTGCTATTCTTTTCTTTTCTCCTTCATCACCTTATTCTAGAAAATACCAGGTAAACTGACTTGGAACATGGGTAAGCATGTCTCCTGTCTCCAAAAATGCCCTCACTTCCATCTGCAGGCCCCAAAGTAATGATTCCATTCATAAAGTCCAAATTAATAAAGTATACATGCTGCAGAATTCATACCTTCCATTGATGAAATGAACTCAATCTTGCCATCTGTATTTGTAGTTAATATGTTGAAAAACTTCCTTAATTTTTTATTCATTGTAAAATTCTAGAGTATAAAAATAAAGCAAAATGATTAATTCTGCAGTTATTCTGAATATATTAATTTAACTGTTGAATTAATGTGATACCTTCATGGAAAGGCTCCACTTGTGGAAATTTGCAGTCAGAGGTTCTTCTGCTAATGACCGCAACAAGTCAGGAGGAAAATTTTTGAACATTCTGCTCTTTGATGGACCTGAAATAATTATGCACAGAGAAATAATTTATGTGCAAGAAAAATCTCATCACCATATTTACAGCCAAAAACATGTGATTAAGACATAATGAGGATGACTAAATAATAAGCAAAACCATCATTTATGAGGAAGGATTCCAATGGAGTATGAAATGTGTTTAATATAAATCCAAATATCCTCCGGACCTAAGAACTTTTTCTCCTAGAATTATAATATGAATAAACAAATTGTTCTCATATGAGAATTTGTAGGTTAGCAATTAAATACGCAGAAAGGCTTAAATCTAGATTCCCAGACGTCTCTGAAAAATAGATAAAATTTTCCAAATGTGCACATACTTGTTTTCCCAAGAAAGGACCCAAAATTTCTAACATCTTGTCAAAGGTATCTCAGATTTTAAAAGTTTAAAAAACACCAACACTATAAAAAAACATTAAACAAGCCAAAGGATTTTTAGGCAGTAATTAGATCAAAGAAGCAATATAAGCTTAGTAGTCAACACTTAAGACTCTGTATTCAGACACACAGACACAAATACCAATAGAGGATTATAAAAAAAAAACTCTGATGTGTCAAGGCTCTGACACCAGATGTTTCAAATCAGGCCCCTCATTCTTGCTAATGGTTTCCATAAGAACTCCAGTACCTTGAAATTCTACTTTTTATGGTATAAACTGGGTTTTTCCAAAGGGCACCAAGCTAGTCTGATCTAAAATATTTCTCACAAGGTTGTTGTAATGATTAAGTGAGATAATGGAAGATACTACTTTCAGAAGAATAAAGTATTATATAGGTTCTATATATGACTACTATGACTCTCCTTCCAAAATCCTTATCAGAACAGGAGGAGTTGTTAGCATGCAATTGTAAGGATCCAGAGATAAGTACCCTTAAGAATCATATTACTTACACTACTACATTACGCGATATAAAAAAGAACAGGTTTGATCTTTGTTCTTCAAATTTTCTGAGTGATAAGAGTGTCTTTGTTATACAGATAGGGTAACAGAAGTGTGCTCTAGATTATTTCAGGATGGTGTTGATGATCAATCAAAAAGACGGACCACATGATTAGAGTATTGAGACATTGAGCCAGCTTTGCTTCCAGGGATGGGAAGAAATGCCAAGGACTGAGTTCAGTCATGTGGTCAACTATTCAATCAATCATGATCTTGCAATGATGCTCCAATAAAAACTCTGGATGCTGAAGTTCACTGGCATTCCCGGTTAGCAAGTAAAGGTAGCACTTTCTTGAGCTGTGTGTCAATCTAGTGAATCATGAAACATGATGGATCCTTGGAATTCCAAATTTGTAATAGGTGGTACAAATAGCGGGTGACCTAAGGATGTGACTTCCGACTAGCATCTGAAATAAGATAGTCTTATCAGGGACCATTCTTGAACTTGTGGGATCTATGCTAACTCTAAGTGTTACGTGCCCATGGTACACCCTGCTGTGAATGAAACAAAGTACACAGTCAAGGGGAAAAGGTTAAAACTACAATAATAAACACTACCAATTATAAGAGCTAGATTTAAAGTACTTAGCCTACTTGTTAGAAAATATTATTATATTTGACACTCACAAAAATTTTAAGACAGGTAGACCCTTTTGTATGAGAAAATTCCTCAAAGACAAAGTGAGAAAACTAGAACTCTAAACCAGGACCAATTTCAAAGTTCTTAATCACACATGGTCCTGATATCACTAGAAGCAACGAGTTAACAAAATTCCTAATTCCTACCAAGCAAGGTGATGCACAACTGTAATCCCAGCACTCAGGAGACTGAGAAGAGAGGGTCATGAATTTGAGGCAAACCTGTGCCACAAACAGAAATTTTCTCGAAAAGAAAAAATTCAAAATTCCTGGAGGTCATTCTCACAAATGAATACAAGGGGTGATCATGTGTATCTTCTGCCTGCATAAATAAATTTAAAATGTTATGAGCAGGGCTGGGGATTTAGCTCAGTAGTTCTGCCACCTGCTTTGCAAGCGTGAGGAGCAGAGTTCGATCCCTGGTACCAAAAACAATAAAATAAAGAGGAAAAAAAAATGAAAAAAAATTTTTTTAATGTTACAAGCATTTTTCTTCACACTTGCTGCTTACTGATCCTGTTCATTAAGCATACTTAAAATGTCTGAGAGGCATATTCTCACCTTTAGTGAAGTTCAATGGTAATACTTCATTCTCAGTATTTGTCACAGTTAATAAGCTTTTCTCACTGATCAGATAGGCAAGCTCTTCAAATCCAAGGCATGTGCCCCACACAGGAAAATAATCTCCATCATCAAAACTCTTTTAAGAGAAAGGAAAACTATGTTGATTCAAATTTTTCACAAAAATTATACACACGGTTAGCTTTTACCAGTTAGCGCTCTAGTTATTCAGAATTTTCAAAGATGTGTAAGTAGATAGACTTTCAATTAATTCATCTGTCTTCAGACCAAGCTTCCACACAGCCTATAAAAAGTGAACTGTGGCAAAACTATATATCTTGACCCAAAGACTATAAAAGGCCATGGGTTGCTTGGCATAGCTATTAAAAGTTTTTAAGCAAGTACTTCAAATGCTAAAAGCAGTTATTTAGGGAGATACTAAAGGGAAGGTTGGCAAGATACTAAAATCGGAAAGATTAACTAGAAAATGGCTGTTGATAGTTAAGGAGAGAAACATAATGGTGTAAACTATGGTACACAGGTAAGCCTAATGTGAAATACTGCAAAGGAAAAAATCAGAGGTGTTACTAAATAAAAGTGTTCTAAGGTAACTGTGAAGAAAGACCAAATGGAATTGAATAAATTGGGAAGAGGAGATTTCAACAGAAGATAAAAGTCAGTAACACAGAAAAATAATGAATACATAAAAAGAAGATATGAGGCCAAGGGGAGATCCTGGGATTATTAAGCACTGAACCGCTTCCCCTGGTATCACCAGGGCAGAAAGTTTGCTTACATACCGACTCTCCCAAGCTTCTCTTGGGCAGATGCCATTTTAACCAGCTCTTTCTTGGTTGCACTAGATGCACTTGTATATCTGTTTGTTTGATGTTGACCATTTTGGTATACTTTTTTATTTAGAACACTGTATTTGAGTTTGATGTTTATTTCTAGTAAAATCTAATAAGTTCTAGTTATTTTTTTACTAATTTATGTTTAATTTATTTGTGAAAAATAACCTATAATTTTGTGCTACAATCTATAAAAACTCTTATCGTAAGCACATTAGATAAAATTTTATACTTCTCCAGAACTCAGTGATGTTCTTTTAAAATACAAAATGGACACATTTGGGACACTGAGACTGAAGAGGAAAGAAGTGTCAAAAGGTCTACAAAAGAAAAAATTTAAAAAGGGAGAAATGTTAGCATATCAGAGAGGAAAAGTCTGTGTTATAAAACGCAAAGACAAAGACAGTATTTCTTTATTGTCAACTATTCATAATATAGAAATGATAAAACTTGAAAGAAGAAATGAAATTTAAAAAACTCTAATAGCGGTCTGTGATTATAATAATTCTATATGAGCAGTGTTTAAAGAGTTGACCAACATCTAACAAGCCTTCTTGTAATCAGAAAGTGTGGAAAAATTATTATAACATTTTATAAACCTTCTGGACCAAACAATATGAAACTCACTTGTTATTTATTCAAAATAAGGGGGTTCAAAAAGTCAGTTACAACTTAGATTAGGTCTAACAGATCAAATAATTTAAAAATACGGAATAGCAAAGTTACCAACCAGTATGTCAATCATTGATGTCCACCACTGTGATTAGTGGGTAGACCTGTTGTTGAAATAATATCAACCACAGAAAAAAATAAAAAGTCAATAAGACAGTGTAAAGAGTACTGTGTAAAGACAGACAATAATGCAAAAAAGAATTTGGAAAGAGACTAGATACTACTGTCTAGATTGTAATGTTTGCATTGTGCAATGAATGTTTTAAGATATACCATACACAGAAAAACTCTTGAATAAATTTGATAAAATTATCATTTTAATAGTTCTTATAATTTCTTAGAAAAATTAACAAAAATATATAATTTCTGGTCATCCTGTATTTAAATAATTGGACAGCAAGTGCTTAAACTACATATTCATATCTTCACACCAAGAAGCCTAGAATTAATGAAACACGTGAAAATTGGGCAGACCAGCCACTGCTGGAGAACAGATGCTTTAAAGGTTAAGGGAATGAAGTGAAAGTAATTATAAAGGAAACATCACCAAATGCTTACAAAAAGAATTATTCTCACAGAAACTAACAAAACACACCTAAAATGATGAGCAATTACTGATATATATATATATATATACCTGTATGGCCAAGTTGTAAAATATTTTGGAGACATTGGCATAGCCTGACTTCTGGAGATTAGAGCCTCCTCCAGGTAAAAGGATTCTGAAATATTAATTAAGATGAATTTTACCTTGGATACACTTAAAAACAACATTTTCATTTTAAAGAATTTTTCCTTAATACATTAAGGATTGTTAAAGAAAATTAGAAAACTAAATAAAATAATAACAAAATTAGAACCTTAGCCATTCAGAAATTACTGTAGTTAACAGCACTTTACATACTGACTCATCAAAACTCTTTTAAGACAAAGAGTATATTCTTATTTTGTGTATATTCTTTTAAAACTTCTTTGATAACAAGTTTATTTATGAAAAACTGTGTGAGTAATTAAATGATAAAGGGGCAGGAAAGTGTCCAAAGCTAGAAATCAAATGGTAACAAAATTTCAGGTGTAGTTAATTTTATTTTTATTGTGCTTTATTGTTTTTGTAATACTAAGGATTGAACCCAAGGCCTTGCATATGCTAGGTAAGTGCTGGACCACTAAACTATATCCCTAGTCCTATTTTACAATTTATCTTATTTTGAGATACAGTCACATTATTTTGAGATAGAGTCTAGACTGGCCTTGGACGAGTAATCATTTTGCCTTGGGCTACCAAGTGGCTGAGATTACAGGTGTGCAGCTAGATTTAAATTAAGATGATCAGTGTTATCAAATCACCTGCAGGTGCATAATTGTGTTAACTCAGAAATAATTTTGAACCGTAAAGAATAAACTAAATATTAAAAATGTATTTAGACTAGACCTAAATATCTACAAGTATATACTTTTTAATTATCATCTTGAGAGCTCCTCAGAAATAGGCACACTATGAAAAAATTCTGAAAAAGCACAAACTTACTTGTATAGAAAAAGTATAAAAAAAGGGAGTTACAAACATTTAATTTTATTTTCCTCTACCCATAAAGATGGGATACAGAAAAATATTTACCATGGATTTGAACCAGCTTTGTAAACTAAGTTTAATTTTTTTATAATAGCAAATGAAATAACTAAGGATATCTAAAAGAGGTTTGGCCTCTTTGGCCAACAAAAGTTGGATTAAACATACTATGTTTTAAAAAATATTTAAATATGTACTTGTGACATATGGAATAACTTTTGACATTTTTGTTTATTCAAGAAATGCATTCTGCTGTTTCTGTAATTAAGGTCTGATACCAGCCTGACAACGATGAGCAGCTTTTGCTGTTAGGACCAGTCTAGTATAATACATTTAACACCTAAGAGTAAGGCATCTACCACAAACTGATGAAGATACACTTAAAACTGACTTAATCAAGATTCATAAGCAGTTCTCTCTTTAAATTAAATTAGTATTTAAAAATGTTCCTTCTGTCACAAAAGAGTGAAAGACATATTACATGAAACATACATACTCATGTTTATAGCAGTACAACTCATAAAAGCTAAACATTGGAAGTGGTATGTATGTTCATCATCAAATGAATGGATAAGAAAATGGGGTATCTGTGCACAGTGAAGTATTGTTTTGCCATAAAGAAGGATAAACTTGCCAGGTGTGGTGGTGCACACCTATAATCCCAGCACTTGGGAGGCTGAGAGGAGGATCGCTCATAAAGAAGGATAAACTTGCCAGGTGTGGTGGTGCACACCTATAATCCCAGCACTTGGGAGGCTGAGACAGGAGGATCGCTGTGAGTTCGAGACCAACCTGGGCTACATAGTGAGTTCCAGGTCAGTCTCAACTACATAGTGAGACTCTGTCTCAAAAAAAACCAACCCCCCCCCCCAAAAAAAAACCAAAAAAAAAAAAAAGAAGAAGGATAAACTTGAGTTGTTTGTAGGAAAATGGATGCACCCTGAGACCACAATGGTAAGTGACGTAAATCAGACCCAAAGTTCAAAAATCTCATGATTTTGCTTCTATGAGACCAAAATATAAATAAAGAGCAAAGTAAAAGAAAGGTAATGGGGTGGGAAGGGCAGGGGAGAGAAAATAAGGGACAAGAAAAAAATATGAGAAAAGGAAAAAATGGAAACAAAGTCTTTGTAAATAGGGGAGGATAGAGGAGTTGAAGGGAGGGCAGGGGTATGGGGAAAAAATGAGAACCAAGATCTGTAAAGATACAAGATCCCAATGAAGACTGTAACTGTACTGTATGCTTAAAAAGTACCAATAAACTCAGTAAGATAAAAAAGAAAAAGAAAGCTAATAGGAAACGGAATTAGATCCTTTGCAAATGTGAAGGGGACCAAGAGACGGAGGGTGGAGGAAGGGGAAGAGGATGTAAAAAGAATTAAGATGTGTTAAGTACATGCGCCAACTCCCCATGAGGAGTGTAATCATTCTGTATCACAAACATGTACTAATAAAAACAAAAGTTTGAAAAAATCAGCGAAATGTTGCCTCTGATCAAATTTGGTTCATTAGAAAGAACCTAAAGTTCTTTCATACAGTGAAACCTGAATGTCTCTCCCAAATGACAAATTCCTTTGAACCAATGCTCTGTCTTTTAACTTGTGTATCCCCCCACAAAATAGTATAGTATAGCATAGTAACAGGAGCTCAACAAAGGCGTTTCTGAGGTTGCATTAGACTACTACTCTTTTCTCTAGTGGCATTCGAAACTGTAAATTATGGCTCCTGGTTTCACCATCTCAGAGCCCAGGTTTTGATGCCTGTGCTGTGGAGAAAGTGTACACCTATGGGAGCAAGAATGAGGGTGGATGAAGGAAATAGGTGGGGAAGATCTAAAAGGGCATCCATCATCAGTTAAGACCCACTGTTACTTTTCATAAAGACTCAAGTGCATCTGGACAAGCTAGCTACCAAAAACATTTGTTCCTGTCTCTAAAAATACCAACCACGGCAGGTACCTTTCCAAACAGAAATGCAGCTGGGGAAGGGAAAGGAAAGATGAGTTATTCCAAGAGTACATCTGGGAGACTTTTCTATTATATCCTGACCTGGATTTACCTTTGTCCTTGTTAAGTACTTTGCACATAACAGGCACTGTAAATGTTTTACTAAATGACTTGACTTTGAAGTAAATATTTACTGAAAAAAACTAAACTGAAGGCAAATAATTTTCGAATATGCTTTAAGAAGAAAGGCCATATGTGAACACATTTTTTCAAGTAGTAATAACAAAACTCTTAAAAAGCTTTACAATAAAAATGACTTGTCACTGAATTTCCAATGAGAAGCAACTATTGATAAAATTGGTCATGTTGATTTGGTAGAAATATGTTACGTGTACCTCTTCATCTCATCTTAAAATAAAAAGAACATAAGTATACTCTACATACCATAGCATGGCTTGCTTCTCAATATTATTCACATGACAATCATAACACAAAGCAGCATATATAGATAACCTCATTTTTAATTCTTGCACAATATGCCACAAAATATAGTCTGCTTCATTTAATCATTCCCACCTGATAGACCACTAACATTTTTTAAATTGGGATGTCTTTTCAGACAATACTATAATGTGTTTAATTGGACTTTACATACCAGGATGATCAGGATGATGATGACGATGGTGTGTGTGTGTGTGTGTGTGTGTGTGTGTGTGTGTGCTACTGGAGATAAAACTCAGGGCCTTCACACTGAGGTCCATTCCAGCCATTCTTTATTTATTTTGACACAGAGTCTCACTGAGTTACCCAGGCTTGGCTCAAACCTATAATCCTCCTCCCATAGCCACCAGAGTGCTGAGATTACAAGTGTACACTAATACACTTGGCTTACAAAGTAATATGTTTATAAAATAAAATTTCTTTTTAAGATCCTGGATCAAGAGGTTAAAAAAAAAAAAAAGATCCTGGATCAAGTTGGGGATTTAGCTCAGTGGCACCGCACCTGCCTTACAAACACAAGGTCCTGGGTTCAAACCCTAGTACCAGAAAAAAAAAAAAAACCCAAAACAAACAAAAAAATCCTGGATCAAAAGTATGAATGTTTCTAGTTTTAGTAGATACTGAAAAATTGCCCCTAAAAAGATTATATAGTTTATACTCTTACTAATAAAGTATATTTGTTTCCCCATATCCTCACTATAGAATATTTGCAAATTTTCTGATCTTTGCCAATCTGTGATAGTTAAAAATGTCCTTTTAGGGGCTGGGGATTTAGCTCAGCGGTTCGGTGGCCTGCCTTGCAAGCGCAAGGACCCGAGTTCGATCCCTGGCACCAAAAAGAAAAAAAAAAAAAAGTCCTTTTACTGCAGTAATTAACTTTTCTTCCTTAAATTAAGAGCAATGTACAATATTATTCACATGTTTGAAAGCTCTTTTCTGTGAGCCAACTGATCATATTTTTTGTGGTAAAGGTACAAAAATAAACAGTATTTTTCTGAGTTCTATTCAAATACTTCTGAAAGATAAACAATCAATATCCATATCCCCCCAGGCAAGGAATATGACCTGCCATCCAAAGCAGTTTCAAAATATGTAAAGCACATATTAAAGAAACAAAGATTAAGTTATACATACTAAAAAATGATATGCATCTACTATGTAACAATTATATATTTCCTAAATTGTATCCTAGTTTTTACAAGTGCATCTCTTAGCAAAATATTTCTTGTAAAGAACTCAGAAAAACTAATGCCATACACCAATAGAGTTATGTAGAAACACACATAATATTTTTTGACAAAAGCAAATAAAAATGTAGACACTCATATATTATCAAACCAATTCACATATATATTGTATTAAGCCAACCTACCCATTGATGGATTTGAAAAGTTCTTCATACTGTGTATGTGTAAGAGTAAGCCTGAAAACAATAAAAACAGTTTATAAACAATCATTTCTGAAACCTAAGATAAAAAGTAATCTCTAAACAAAGTAACCACATTAATTTTTTAAGGCAGATGCGAAAATAATTCTTAAATATGAGACTATTACCTCTCTACCATCTTAGAGGCATTTTTTTCAAACTACTTGAAAGCCATATAATTATATACTTGTTGTGCTAATCTGACAGGTAAATGTGTTCTTCTGTACTCTAATGAAATTTAACATTATAATGTTTATATTAATATGCAAAACACTAAGGGCCAAAAGAATTGCGTACCAGTAAATTTGTCAACTAAGAACTATTTTTAAAATCTAAGAATTCAGTAATTTTATAGCACAGACTATAAAAGAGCTTTATTATCACATCTCACTTAACTGCAGGCAGCTCTGAGAGATAAAAACAATACAAAATAAATACCAGATTCTGTACTCCATCCCATCCCCACCACCAGCTGCAATGGTCTAGCAACTACTGTGCATTCAAAAGTCAAAACAGTTGGGCCGGGGATTTAGCTCAGCGGTTCGGTGGCTTGCCTTGCAAGCACAAGGACCCCAGTTCAATCCCCGGTACCAAAAAAAAAAAGAAAACAAAAGTCAAAACAGCTTAGATCTAAGGACAGATCACTGTAAACTGGCCTAATTATGTCAAACACCCTTGAAAACTCCTAACAATAACCATGTTATTGATGGTTTTATCCACTTTCCCATAGAAAACCTGATGGGATTTTTAATTAAATCACAGTAAAATATCTGCTTTTCCAAAACTTTCGTTCAAATCAACAAAAAAGGAAGAAAAATCAGGGTTGTAAAATCCTTGGAAGAATTCTCGTACATTCAGCAGTCTTCCATGTCTGTTAGAGAGCAACACTGCACATCCCTTTCAATGCTCTAAAAAATAGATTTACAATCATATGTAATTATAGCCCATTTATGCTCCAAGGAAAAGACTAAGGAGGTGTCAAGCAGACACCTGCGAAGCCTATAATTTGGCTGCGCTCTGCCAGCAAATCTCTAAATCCAAATAAGCTTGAAAGTCAGGTCTCTTTTAAGGAAATTTATAGTAAATCTCTGGACAGTCATCCACAAAGCAATGGGTGACAGTGGAATGGTGGTGATCACTATCTTAAAATGCAGAGTAAATTGGCAGGCAGACTTCCTCAGGAAGGGACAGGAATGTAAAATATGAGTCCACTCATAATGAGATGAGGATTCTGGGAGATTCTAATATACATTAATTTGATCTGATAATGCACTATATTTATAAGACTTTATTAGGTCTTTTCAAATAAAAATGAGATATATTCCACTTCTTCCAAAGGAAAATATGAGATTAATAATTTTAGTCCTTTTTTGCACTTAAATAAATTATTTTTCATTCTGGAAAAAATGATATAGGTAGCAGAAAAACCCAGGGTTCACCCCAGATTACCAGATTCCCTCAAGGCCTTGGCTATATCCAGAAAGATTTCAATACATAGCTGGAAGACAGACAACCATACCTCTTATCTTCATACCACATTGTCAATTACAAGGTAAATCTCAGGACCTAACCTTGCCAGGTCTGGCTCTACATACTCCAGGGACTGGCTAAGGATTTCAAAAAGAGTTAGGATGTTCTAAAAACATCAAAAAACAAAACAAAACAAAATCCTCAAACTCAATTAGTTCTAACACAGTTTCTTTTTAAAAATAAAAATAAGAATAATGATGTGTAGGATTTGGTGGTGCATGCCTGTAATCGCAGTACTCTGGGAAGACAAGGTGGGAAGATCCAAGTTCAAAATCACAAGTTCAAGCCCAGTCTAGGCAACTTGGTGAAACGCTGCCTCAAAAAAAAAAAAAAAAAAAA